CCCCCCTGCTCCCTCCCATGGAGCTGGAGGGAACTAGCTTTTAAGCTGGCTATACCCCCAGTACCCTCTCCTCTTACCGCCTCCCTTGCTGCCTCTTTCTGATAGAGACAGCAAGGGGTGGGGGAACGAGCGACTAGTCACTTACATCCCCAGTATAAAGGACAGTGGAGCAGCTCAGTCAGGGCTGGCCACCACAAGGGAAGGAGCTCCTGCCAGAGCTCGGGAGGAGGAAGCAGAGAGAGACAGATGCTGTGGTGGAGGACAGGCAGCAGAGACTGGCTGGGGAAGTGATCAGCCTGGAAGACGCAGGTGGGGAAGAAGCCGGCAATCCTGAACAGAGTAGGAAGTAGCCAGGGCAGGGAACTGGAACCCCACCCCCGGGAGCTCAGCATGTTTATCATAGAATCATAAAACCACAGAGCTGGAAGAGACCTCAGAAGGCCATCAAGTCCAGTCCCCTGCTCTAGGCAGGACCAATCTCAACTAAATCAACCCATCCAGGGCTTTGTCAAGACGAGACTTAAACACTGCTAGGGATGGAGACTCCACTACTTCCCTCGGTAACCCATTCCAGTGCTTCACCCCCCTCCTAGTGAAATAGTTTTTCCTAATATCCAACCTGGACCTCTCCCACCACAACTTGAGACCATTGCTCCTTGCTCTGTCATCTGTCACTACTGAGAACAGCCTTTCTCCAGTCTCTTTGGAACCTCCATTTAGGAAGCTGAAGGCTGCTATCAAATCCCCCCTCCCTCTTCGCTTCTGCAGACTAAACAGCCCCAACTCCCTCAGCCTCTCCTCGTAGGTCATATGCTCCAGCCCCCTAATCATTTTGGTCGCCGTCCACTGGACCCTCTCCAATGCGTCCACATCCTTTCTATAGCGGGGGGCCAGAACTGGACACTATACTCCAGATGTGGCCTCCCCAGAGCCAAATAAAGGGGAATAATCACATCTCTGGACCTGCTGGCAATGCTCCTCTTAATGCACCCTAATATGCCATTAGCCTTCTTGGCTACAAGGGCACACGGTTGACTCATATCTAGCTTCTCATCCACTGTAACCCACAGGTCCTTTTCTGCAGAACTACTACTTAGCTGGTTGGTCCCCGTCCTGTCACAATGCTTGGGATTCTTCCGTCCCAAGTGCAGACTCTGCACTTGTCCTTGTTGAACCTCATCAGATTTCTTGTGGCCCAATCCTCCAATTTGTCTAAGTCACTCTGGACCCCATCTCTGCCCTCCAGCGTATCTACCTCTCCCCCTAGCTTAGTGTCATCTGCAAACTTGCTGAGGGTGCAATCCATCCCCTCATCCAGGTCATAAATAAAGATATTGAACAAAACCAGTTCTAGAACCGAACCTTGGGGCACTCCGCTAGAAACCAACCGCCATTCTGACACTGAGCCGTTGATCACTACCCGCTGGGCCCGGCCTTCTACCCATCTTTCTATCCATCTTACCGTCTATTTATCCAATCCACATTCCCTTAACTTGCTGGCAAGAATATTGTGAACTCCTGGCTAAGCTAGTAGTGGTACGGACCCACCACTGACCAGGCTCTGGGCTGGAATCCAGTGAAGAGAGAGGGCCTGGGACCCCCTACCCTGCCCCATTAACTCCTAAGGGGGGCCATCACACTGGACTAGGAATGTTAAAGGTAGTTTAACTAATTCAATAAACGATGGGATTTCCATCCATTATTCAATTAGTCGATAAGGGAGCCTCCACCTTTGAACTGTAGCCAGAGCTCAAAAGCAAAAGCCCAGCAAGGAGCCTGGGGCCAGCAGGTGTCTGGCCCGGTGCTCCTGGCACGCATGAGCCTCTGAAATGTACAAGTGCCCTGCTGGTCCCATGCTCTCTGTGGGGCTTCTGCTTCTGAAATGTACAAGAGTCCTGCTGGCACTCTTGTACATGTCGAAAGCAGAATCACATCAGAACTGGGCCGAGCCCAGACTGCTTCAGTCTGCACTCATGATGTTTCCCACTGGGCCTCTATCTCCCCTACCCCCCACGGAGATGGTGCTGGGGGAAACGGGTAAAGGCAGCAAGGGTTGAGAAGGGACTGGTCATATCACTAGTCAACTATCTGATAAGCTAATGATTACCAGATAGTTGACTAGTCGTTTACATCCCTAACTTTGACTACTGACTTGGGCCAGTTGGCCTTGGTGCCCTGCAATAGGGAGTCTTGCTACTGACTCAGCCACTGGGCCTTATAGCCCTGCTCATGGTGGCTGCTATTGACTGGAACTAAGCCAAGCCAGACTATAGCCACTAAAGGGTGGAGCACATCAGGCGTGGCTTGATAGGCTCGATAGCCTGCCTTCAAGTGGGCCGGGCTTACCACCATGTGACCAGCCCACGGCCCTTTTCTTTCTTTCTTCCCTGGCAAATTCTGGGACCATTAATCCCTTTGAACCGATGTGCTTCTGCCCTATGGGAGCAGGGGAAAGAATGAAGCATATGGTCATACTCTACCTGGGTCTATATTGTGAGTTTACAGGTAGAGCTTACACAATTTCTTGCATCCCCATGGTGAAGTCACCTCTGTTCACAGTTCAAAGTTTTTGCCAGGCAAAAACTTTACATTCCTCCGTTCTCCCTATTTCAAGCACATTAACCTTAGGACATCACTCTTCTTGGCCACAAACTGTGTACTGTCAGTCTCTAAGAAGCATCTGGGTTTCTTATGCCTGAGCTTAGGTATCCTTTGTGACCCAGCCTTTCCTGGGTGTACTGTAGTACTCTGCACCAGCCAGTAATCTCCATTGTTACTCCAGAGACAACGCAACTTGCATGCCCCTTCTGCTCTTAGTACCTACACTACTTCAGTGGGACCACCTGACTTTTCCCTTCAGCATCTGCAACACCCAGGCCTACAAGGACTGCTGAGCTCCCCAGCCAGCCTGTGACATGTGTTCCTTGAGTTTTCACTGCTGCTCCTTCGAACATGCAACATCCTTCCCTCAACATGAGTTTAAGCATCATTCTATATTATCATCTCTAGATGAAGGGAGTGAGCCTCATACCCCACTTCTGTAACCATACCATAATGAGAGCTCTCAAACTAGTGTGCCCCCTGGAAGCCCAGCCATTGCAACTCTGCCTCCATTTCGCTGAGTGAAAGTTTTATGAAGTGCATATTGAACACCTGTATGGGGCCTAGTTTATTCAATCCTATAGGTGAAATATCACATCAAAAGGCCTCCACTTCACCATCTCTAGTAGGCAGGAGCTGAGTCAACATTAGTCAGTCAACCAAGTTGTCCCAAGTCCTTTACCGGTGAGGAATCCATGACATGGAACCTTTTCAAGAATCAGGGGTCTCTTCTCACTAACAGGGGGAAGGGTCCTTTCTCTTAGGTTAAGGCCGAAGTGCAAAGACCATTCCTCAGGACAACATCTAATGTCTTTTTCCTCCAGGGCTTCTGACTGGAAGTCTTCTATAAGAGCCAGATTCTCTAAGGCTGTGTCTATATAGCACCCTTAGCTCACAGTAAGTTACACAATTTGTGCTACGCATTTCGAAATAGCACCAAATTTTGAAATCACTTGCTAATCCGAATTTCCCCTTAACCCTGAGGAACGAGGGTTACCAGGATGTTGGAATAAGTCGCTTGTTATTTCAAAAACTATTTTTAAAATAATGGGCTGCTTCAATCGACGTGGAATAGCTATTTCAGGATACTTCTGGTATCCTGAAATAGATCTGCAGTGTAGATGTACCCTAAGACTAAGAATTCACACTTCCTTCCTTCCAGAAACTCTCCAACTGTGGAGCATTCTTCCCAGGTTTCCTTCAATGGATCCTTCACCCTAGGTCAGCCTGTCAGAGGTAAACAGAGCCCTGATTACTTCTGAGAGACAGTCACCCTGTGGTCACCCATACAGCCTATTCCTAGGGGAATAATCTGTAGTGGTTTATCAGTGTAATTGTTTTAATTAAAGATCACACCAGTATGATTTAAGTTAAAATAAGCAACCTACACCTTGACAGCTATATTAGTACAAAAGCAGCATGTAGACTACCTGAATAAGAACCTCCATTAGGCATCTTGCCAGTCCCTTACATATTAGTGTTTACTTACCAATTCACAGCATGGTTTAATACAACCACGATGAAAAGTGATGCCATTGAAGTCTGATTCCAATGTAGTTTCTTCCATAGTGCATATCCCTGGGGGGGGGTGGGAAAGCCACAAATGCATTAGAAAAGACTCAATCGGAATACTCCTCTAACAGACCTTAGAATGTCTGCAAAATTAAATTATAATCTAATGAAAGGGGAAATGAGCCCTTCAACTGTGAATTTTAGTTTTCCACTCAGGATTGTCCAGAAGTCCAAATAACCAGCACCATTATTCGATGAGTCACAAATCAGGACTAAGCACTGCATAAACACAGAACAAAGACAATCCCTGTTCTAAAAGGCATAAAATCTAAGTATGAAACTAGAGATAAGGGATGACTACACAGATTGGTGGGAAAACATAGGAAACACAGAGACAATACTGGCCAGCATGATAGTCTGTGGCTCTCCTCATACCTGCAGCCTATGAAGATTTTTGTAGGCTTCAGGACTCAACATTTTTCATACTGGATCACAGAGAACAAATCAACACCATAGTCTCTCCATGCCAACTGACCCAAAACATTTTGTTATTTGCATTTTATAGTGCACTTTCTCCACTAATCACAAAAAACTACATAGACTAACAAAAATTCATAAAATGCTTTTGATTTGGTTCCCTGGCATATTGTACCTGTGTTCTTTCTGTCTCTCCATGGACACTTCTTCCAAGTAGCAAGCCTCTACTTGTATTTCTCCAGCCATTCACAGACAGGATCATCAGGTGTTTGCCAAACCTCACTTGCAGCAATAGGGTCCAGTTTGTGGGACTTTGTAACTTTATCACCAAGCTACAAAATCCTTTGTTTGCTTATACAAATGGGTTTAACTATAGACTATTCTCTGAGGCTGTGTCTACGCTGGCGCGATCTTGCGCAAAAGCTTGCTGCCTGTCTACACTGGCTGCATGTTTTGCGCAAGAAAACTGACGTTCTAATGTATAAAATCAGGGCTCCTTGTGTGAGAACTCTTCCGCTTCCGCTCAGGAATAAGCCCTCTTGCACAAAAGCTCTTCCAGAAGAGGCCAGTGTAGACAGGCAACATGAATTTCCTGCGCAAGAAAATATCATTGATCTGAGGAAGTGGGTCTGGCCCACGAAAGCTCATCACTTAATAAGCCATCTTGTTAGTCTTTAAAGTGCTACATAGCTCTTTTATGAACACAATGAGGTCTTCAGTCAGTAACTCTCTCACCTCAGCTCTATGGTTCAATTTCATCCATTCTAAAGACCCTTTGGTTTAGAATTTCAAAGTTCTTTTGTCTAACTTGGCACCCTGTATGCGGTCTGGATTGGTTTGCATGTTTCACCACAGAATCATAACTGTGGTCATCATACAGCAGATTCTAAGCATTGTCTATTTCAGTACAGGACAATTAAGGCAGACAGCCGTCATGTCTTGACCCGGGGGAGCCAAAGCCAACTCAGGCTGTTTGTAACATTAAGAGAACTAATCTCTCAACCTCATTTCATAGGATACAGGTACATGTCTATGAAGACAAGGGCAGGTCCTATCGGTGGTCTGTCACCCCCGGAAGGGAAGCTCATCCACCCAGCTCTGTAGGAAACGTCTCCCCGCGCTAGTCCGGAGTGAGCCAAGCATGCTCACGGGAACTGCTGGATAAACAGGCGGCCGGGATAGTCTCTACACCACACAGAGTCCTGCCCTGGCTGCTGGGGCTAACAACCGGGCAGGACAGGAGGCGCGCTCCCTAGGCTACAGCGGGGGCTGCTTACATGGCATGGGCGTGCCAAGGACGCGACTCAGACCGAGCCCCGCCTCACGAGACACTTTGCAACGGAGGCGGCGGAAGGTGCTCCGGCACGGACCCCCGGCCCGACCGCCC